TATATATATATATATATATATATATATATATGTGTGTGTGTGTGTGGATGTGTGTCTGTGCATGTGTGTACATGCATAATATATATATATATATATATATATATGTGTGTGTGTATAAAGCATTTCCATCGATGCACTAATATAAATGCGATTGCCATGATATGAACGGACATCGCCTCACCCTGCACACACATAGCAGAGACTAGGTTTGTACAGACGAAGCTATAACACTATTCAGCACGAGTATGTATGAATATATGTATAACTTTTGTGTGCAAACGGAGTTATAAGCAGATAATTGGGCATGAATACTGGCGGGACAAAAGGAGCACACCAAAGTTAGCATGCATATATACTTTAATTCGTCTGCGTATATAAAGGCACGTGGAGTGGTACAAGCATAGACACAAGCCAATGGATAAACAACCCCCATCGTACTGAGCTGAGATTAGCAGAATGTGACATCGTCGCAAACGGTCCATCTGTACTACGAGTTCGTGAATATGCACCCTTTCAGACACAAGCACGTCATTCAGATGTACAGTCACAAGTACGCCATTCATATATACAGACACAAGCACACCATTCATATATACAGACACAAGCACGCCATTCATATGTACAGACACAAGCACGCCATTCATATGCACAGACACAAGCACGCCATTCATATGTACAGACACAAGCACGCCCTTCATATGTACAGACACAAGCACGCCATTCATATGTACAGACACAAGCACGCCATTCATATGTACAATGACCATCCAGGAGAGAAAAGCCCTATCAAAGTGGCTTATACATATCAAAGCGCTACCTACAGATATAACTATACCATACGTATGTAATGCTGTCATTGCATGCAGGCTAAAACATAATACATATTTGTGAGTGCCCTGTGTGCAATCCATCCCCACCTACCGCAAGTAACTGTATACCACTCCGGCGGAAACGCACGGTATTAACCTCACCCATAGTACTGACTACAGATACAACCATACCAGGCATATGTGGAGCTATCATTTCACCAGGCCACAACACACCAGCAAAGCGCAAGTACCTAGAGCTATCATTCCATGCCGGCCAAAACATACTACCCATATGCGAGTGCCCCGTGTGCAATCCATCCCCACCACTCACCATCAGTAGCTGATCGTAGCGGTCTCGTACACTCAAGAGGAGGTCATACAGCTGCGCCACGTTATAGCCGTAGCTGCCCAGTGTGAGACAGAACACCGCCACAAACTGTTTGAGTTGCATCAGCACGGCTTTATCTTCGCAAACCATCAGCTCCTACGCACGTCATTGTTTGTGGGGATGGGACGGGGTGATTAATACCGAACTTCGTGACCGTATGCGTACAACGTTTATATTTGCGTAAAGTGTTTATATTTGCGTAAAGTGTTTATATTTGCGTAAAGTGTTTATGTTTGCGTAAAGCGTGACGGTTGCGTACAGCATTAATGTGCACGGAAAGGGGACGGGCTGATTAATACCGAACTTCGTGAGGGTATACGTACAGTGATTCTGAATACGTAAAGCGTTAATGTTTGCGTACTCGAAGGACAGCTTGGTAACGGAGGTCAGGCAGCCATTTCGCAAAATTTTAGCTTCACCACGCAGCTCATCCGGTGCTTTTGTAACTTCTTCAGTGCAGTACCTCTACAATCCAATCCCACCTATACGAAGGTGATAATACTAGCGTGTATCACATATACCTGTAACACTGACTCAAACGTATGTTTCACACTATTTATACGGTACTGATACATACTGGTACGTGTACATACTGGTACGTTTTTTTTTGCAAACTACTATACGGTATTATTAAACATGCCAATACGTTTTTGTTTCACATACCTTGCGCAACGTAGTACCTATCCGGTCCAGACCCATTTTCCATAGATCATCAATATTGGAGGCGCTCACCAAACCCGCAGTCGTGTTCATCACCACATCCTCAACAATAAAGAAACCAAGCACCTAATAGACCACACATGCAGAAATCCAACAACAATCCACAAATCAGACCAAACGTTCAGAAATGTGACAATACATATATAAATCAGACAACAATCCACAAATCAGACAAAACATTCAGAAATGAGACAACACAAGCAGAAATTAGACAATATATCCAGTAATCAAACAAACCATCCAGAAAGAGTGCAAATCAGGGATGAAAAGAAAAAAAGAGATTCACAATAGGATGGCGTTCGGTTCGAAGAAAAAGACTGAAAATGGGAAATTAGGTGAAACTCAGAAGACTTTATTGTCAGAAGTAAGTTGCCAATACTCATACCATGAATATATAAATGTCTCTAAGCATGAATATTTATTCTA